ATCAAGCTGCTCCAGCCAATGGGAAGTGTCCCCATCCCTCACAAAAAAACATCATTCCTCTGAAGTCTAGAAGATAGAAAACTTGGAACAAGGCACATCATGGTACCATGGTTTTGGATGAATATTTCCTGGTATTTAGATTAGTTTATTTTTAAACTAACTCTATTATTAGTTAGTGGGATGGGTGGGGGTGATAGGGGGTTAGCTATAATTTCAGTTTTTAAAAATTAATTTTAGTTTAATTTAATTTTACTCAATGTGTGCCATATAATTTATAGCTAAACGTGTCTGATTTTATCATAAAAACATGGTATTGTATTTATCATAAATAGCATAGTACAGCATTATCAGAATTTTTTTCTTGGACATGAAAAAAATTCTTCATGAAATTATATTCTCTATATCACACCAGAATATAATTATGTGTCTCTTTTGGTGACACTGATACCCTTTTCAGCTCTGGTGTATTGTTGTACTTATCAACTGTCACTCAACTCAGCATTCTATCTTGTTGTTGTATTTTGACATAGGCATCACTTTAAACATAGCACAGCTGAAGCCATTTCCAAAAGAAGAGCGTGGATGACTGACATTGGTCTGTCTGCAGTAAAAGGAAAGCTGCAGTTTAAAAACCGGGGGAAAAACACAGTTGATTTTTCAAACAGCATTTTAAATATGTTTTATGTTTATTTGCTGTTTTATACATAATAAACCACAATGCATCATCATTCCTTCAACAAGTTTCAAAATACGGGTGTAGCATAATATTTATTCAAAAACGTGCCAAAAGCAATCAAATGTGCATTTAGTAGGATACACATGGTTGAGTAAATAAAGCTTTAAAATGAGATATCAACAATTAAATACCAGGTAAACCTTTGAAGTCGGTTTTATTTCACTAGACATGCTTTTTTTGCCCTTTTACAATGGAGAAAAAAATAGGGGGTTTGCAAATATTCCTCAAGAAAAAAAAATGAGAAAACTACTTAGACAGTTCCACAATTTTGTAGTTCAGTCTATTCAGTGATATCCTACCCCAGAACTGGGACATGGTTCATATGGGTAATGGCTTCTTCCCTTAGAACCTTCTTGCACAGATGATTTGCTTCATGACACATGTCTCTTTAGTCTAATTTTTGTTGACAGATTCATCAGACGTCTCTCTGTACTTCTGATAAGGAAGGCAAACTCTTATCACATGATTCTTCCTCTATTGGTCCCAGCGGACAAAGTTGTAGTGATTATCCAACTCAGCCAAGAGAAGGTGCTAGATGTGTAAAAGACATTGACCTTCATTTTCACTGACTTGTATTATGGACCATTCAGAAAAAAAGGATATTTGTATTTACAGCTACTGTGGTGGTATGGTATAGAATTTTAATGCCAAGACATACACTCACCGGCCACTTTATTAGGTACACCTTGCTAGTGCCAAGAAAATATCCCACACACCATTACACCACCACCACCAGCCTGAACCATTGATACAAAGCAGGATAGATCCATGCTTTTAAGTTGTTTATGACAAATTCTGACCCTACCATCTGAATGTTGCAGCAACCAGTCTGCCCATTTTCCTCTGACCTCTGATATCAACAAGGCATTTTCACCAACACAACTACAACTCGCAGGATATTTCCACTTTTTTGGACCATTCTCTGTAAGCCCTAGATGGTTTGTGTGAAAATTCCAGTGTAAAAGCAGTTTTTGAGATATCCAGACCAGCCTGTCTGGCACCAACAACCAAGCCACATTCAAAGTCACTTAAATGCCCTTTCTTCCCCATTCTGATGCTTGCTTTGAACTTCAGCAAGTCGTCTTTGCTATATCTAGATTGCCTGGATGTCTAAATGCATTGAGCTGCTGCCATGCGATTGGCTGATTAGCATTTTGTGTTACCGAGCAATTGAATAATAAAGTGGCTGATGAGTGTATATATTAGACATATTGAATGCTTGAGCCAGTGAGAAAAAAATGCTTTCTTTTATGACTGGAGAATATCTTTAATGGATTATTTCACACTTTGCTAAGCTTCTGAGTATACATTAAAATATTAACCACTTCCTGCCAGAGGTGCATCCTCTCAGCTGGTGGACTTTAACCACCTCCCGTCCGCCATATAGACCAATGACGGGCACAAGGTGGTTCTCTTGTTCTGATAAGACATCATATAACGTCCTCCCATTCTCACCACGCATGCTCGGCTCAGGGAGCGCGCAGCGCGGCGATCGGCGGTGCGCTGTGTCCCTCGGACACAGCGGATCACCTATCACAGAAAGAGTCGAAGATGTTGGCTCGGTCATGTGATCAGCTGTGTCCAACCACAGCTGATCACATGTAAACACGGAAATGCCGGTTATCGGCATTTCTCTCCTCTCGAGCTGTCACGCTGGCAGCTCGAGCGGAGAGGCGGTAATCAGCTTTCCTCGGAGGGGACATGTACACTGATCATCAGGGCACTGATGATCAGTGTGCCCTGATGATCAGTGTAGCCCCAGCAGTGCCACCTGTCAAAGTCCATCAGTGCCAGCTGTCAGTGCCGATCAGTGCCACGTGCCAGCGCCACATCAATGCCACATATCAGTGCATACCAGTGCACATCAATGCCACAAATCAGTGCCCATCTGAGCTGCCTTTCAGTGCCATCCATCAGTGCCAGTCAGTGCCACCTATCGATGCCAATCAGTGCCACCTATCAGTGCTGCCAATCAGTGCCACCTATCAGTGCCAGTCAGTGCCACCTATCAGTGCCAGTCAGTGCTGCCTATCAGCTTGCATCAGTGCCACCTATCAGTGCCAGCCAGTGCCGCCTAACAGTGCCAGTCAGTGCCGCCTAACAGTGCCAGTCAGTGCCGCCTATCAGTGCCAGTCAGTGCCGCCTAACAGTGCCATATATCAGTGCCATATATCAGTGCCATGTATCAGTGTTGCCTTTCAGTGCCCATCAGTGAAGCCTGTCAATGCCCATCAGTGCCACCTACCAGTGCCACCTCATCAGTGCCCATCAGTGCCACCTATCAGTGTCCATCAGTGCAGTCTATCAGTGCCCATCACTGCAGCCTTATTAGCGCACATCAGTGAAGGAGAAAAATCACTTATTTACAAAATTTTATAACAAAAACTAAGAAAAAATGTTTTTTTTTTCAAAATTTTCTGTGGTTTTTGGTTTGTTTAAGAAAAATAAAAAACCCAGAGGTGATTAAATACCACCAAAAGAAAAGCTCTATCTGTCACAAAAGAATGATACAAAATTTTACATGGGTGCAGTGTTGCATGACCGCGCAATTGTCATTCAAAGTACAACAGCACTGAAAGCTGGAAATTGGCCTGGGCAGGAAGGGGGTATAAGTGCCCTGTAGGCTAGTGGTTAAAGCTAAGAGGCCATATATATGCATCCCTGTGTAAACATTTTTCTGTGCTGAAAGTGTGCATCCTGGGCACCCTGAGTGTGGTTACCGGCGGGTACCACAAAGCTCCAAATAGATACTTGCGATCAGGAGCTTTCCAATCATGTGACCGCTGTGACTGCCAATCACAGCAGTCACATGATCAGAATGCCCACCTTTGCCTTCCGACATTCAGGACCTCTTAACCAGTTGCCGACCGCAGATAGCCGAATGACGGCTACATTGCGGCCGGCCAGTTCTGGGAGGGCGTCATATGACATCCTCCCAGAACGCGCTCTCCTGCACGCACCCGGCGAGCTCCATGATTGCTGTGTCCTACGGACACAGCTGATCACGTGATGTGGTAAAGGGCCAATCACAGCGGCTTTTTACTACGTGATCAGCTGTGTCCAATGACACGCTGATCACAGGGAAATGCAATTGCCGGTTCTTGGCTGTACTTTTCTCGTGCTGTCAGAACGTGGGGAAAGTACTGCCGAGAACCGGCAGTTGTTAGAGCAGGGATCGGCACTGATCATCAGGGCACTGATGATCAGTGCCCTGATGATCGGTGTCCAGCAGTGCCACCCACCAGTTCCACCCACCTGTGCCCAGCAGTGCTGCCCACCAGTGCCCAGCATTGCCACCCACCTGTGCCCATCAGTGTCACCCACCTGTGCCCATCAGTGCCACCCACCTGTGTCACCCAACTCTGCCCATCAGTGCCACCCACATCTGCCCATCAGTGCCACCCACCTCTGCCCATTAGTGCAGCACAGCAGTGCTGCCAGTCAGTGCCCAGCAGTTGCACCAGTCAGTGCCCAGCAGTGCCGCCAGTCAGTGCCCAGCAGTGCCACCAGTCAGTGCCCAGCAGTGCCACCAGTCAGTTCCCAGCAATGCCACCAGTCAGTGCCGCCTATCAGTGCTGACTATCAGTACCCATCATCAGTGCCGCCTATCAGTTCCACCTATCAGTTCCGTCTATCCGTGCCACCTCATTAGTGCTGCCTATCAGTGCCACCCATCAGTGCCCTTCAGTGCTGCCTATCAGTGCCCATCAGCGCTGATTATCAGTGCCCATCAGTGCTGCCTATCAGTGCAGCCTCATCAATGCACATCAGTAAAGGAGAAAAATTACCTGTTTGCAAAATTTTATAATAGAAACAAAGAAACCTTTTTTTCAAATTTTTTGCTCTTTTTTTGTTTATAGCACAAAAAATAAAACCCCCAGCGGCAAGTAAATACCACCAAAAGAAAGCTCTATTTGTGAGAAAAAAATGATAAAAATTTCATATGGGTACAATGTTGCATGACCATGCAATTGTCATTCAAAGTGCAACAGCACTGAAAGCTGAAAATTGGCCAGTAGGCAAGTGGTTAAAGGGCCGGAAGGCAGCAGCGGAAAGGGGTCAAGGTTGTCGTCATTAATGTTTTATCATCTAATACAGTTCATATGGTAGATGGAAAAATGTTTGTTAACCTCTTCCTATCCATCTTATAGCAGAAATAGTGCTACAGGGCGGCACGGGTGCACAAAATCATGTATATATATGTGATTTTGCATTTACGGGTAGGGGGCGCGCGTGAGCCGCATGCATGCCCTAACCGCGCCACCATTCGCGGCCGTGACTGTCAATCACCAGGTCCCCTATGTAAAACACTCCCAGCACATAGCTAACCCTTTGATTGCCCCTCATGTTAACCCCTTCCTGCCCAGTGCCATTAGTACAGTGTCAGTGTTTTTTTTAGCACTGATCACTGTATTGGTGTCACTGGGGATGTCAGTGGCACCAAGTCAGTTCCCTCCAGTGTCAGAATGCCTGCCGCAGTCCTGCTATAAGTCGCTGATCGCTGTCATTACTAGTAAAAAAATGTTTTTAATTCCAGTATCTAACCTCCATTAGTAAACACTATAACTTTCACGTAAACCCTTTAATTTACACGTATTGGGATTTTTTCTAGCAAAGACATGTGGCAGAATACATTTTGCCATAAATTTATAATGAAATTAGATTTTTAAAAAAATTTTACTGGACATGTTTAATAGCAAAATGTAAAAAATGTAGTTTTTTTTCTCAAAATTGTGGGTGTTTTTCTTTTATAGCGCAAAAAAATAAAAACGCATGGGCGATCAAATACCACCAAAATAAAGCTCAATTCGTGGGAAAAAAAGGACGTAAAATTAATTTGGATGCAGCATTGCATGACTGCGCAATTGTAAGTTAAAATAACGCAGTGCCATAACCAAAAAATGGCCTGGTCAGGAAGCGGGGTAAATCCTCAGGAGGGCAAGTGGTTAATGGATGTAAACTGTAAAATGTTGTATTGAAGGTAGATCAGTCCAAGACAAGAGTTATGTCAATGGTCCTGCTGAATTCATGATTTTTCCATTTTTTTTAAAGATGGTTCAGTATAGTAAATAATGTGTAAGTGGTGGCTCACTGCATAAGTAATTTGCGTGCTAGAAGTATATTATGTGTAATGCAGAAGGACTTTTAGAAGAAATGAGCTCAACAGTAAGAAATCTGAGACTTCACATTTAAAATTCTAAAATGTGATGTTTTGAACTGGAAAACTCAAAACTAAGTAACTAATTGCCAATCCGAGCCTAATGTCTAAACAATATACTTCAAATATACTTCAACTCATTAGTAATATGCAGTTCAGTTTTGGGCACCAATTCACAAAAAGAACATTGGAGAACTTGAGAAAGTACAGAGAAGGGCAACCAAACTGAAAAGAGGCTTGGAGGAGCTCAGCTATGAGGAAAGATTAGAGGAACTGAATTTATTCTCTCTTGAGAAGAGGAGATTAAGGGGGGATATGATCAACATGTATAAATACATCAGTGGTTCATATAGTGAACTCAGTGTAGAGCTATTCACCCTGAGAAAAAGAAATTTAATCTCCAAACACGGAAAGGTTTCTTCACAGTGAGAGCTATGAAAATGTGGAATAGACTCCCTCAAGAGTTGGTTCTGGCCAGCTTAGTGGATTAAAAATAGTCCTGGATTCTTTCTTAGATAACAGACTATAACTGGATACTAACATGTATAGGTAAAGTTGATCCAGGGAACATCCGATTGCCTCTCGGAGGATCAGGAAGGATTTTTTTTTTCCATGCAGGAGCAAATTGGATCATGCTTTGCTGTTTTTTTTTTTGTCTTCCTCTGGATCCTCTGGATCAACTGTGGGTGTAAGATTATAACATTTTTTTCAATGGTTGAACCGGATGGACATTTGTCTTTTTTAAGCCAGACTAACTGTGTAAATTAGCCTTCGATTACAGTATGTCAATATAGGATGTTTAGAGGTAAGTAACTTGTCTAAAATATGTTAAATGTAAAAAATTATTTTATGGGAAGATTGGTAATGAAATTAATGGTCTTTTTAAACCTAGCTCTTAACATGAGCTCAATCCCTAAAGCCAATTAAAGCGTAATTCAACTTTTTAATAAAGTGGGGAAGGATTAACATTTTTGGCAGGTTCTTATTTCCTAAATCATAGGACCACACTCCTTTCACTGTTGACCTTGGTAATAGATGGGTGCTAGTAGTGACTGTAGTGAATGGTGTCACTTAAAACACAGTAAAACAATTAGACGTCACCACACCTCCATTGTAAACATACTGTAGACACTCATTTATTAGTGCAGTTTCACATCAGTCAAATAAGTCAATGTTTCTGGGCAACAGAGTGACAATTTGCAATGCAATATCACATGTACAGTATATCTACATGAGTGAACATGCAAAACGAATATTCCACCCTCAGTGATATCATAGTATCATAATTGTTCCTAAAAGAAACATTATGCTAAAATAATTAAATGTATGCAAATAAATATTTAATATAAAAAACAAACAAGTGCAAAGGGTACCTCAAAACCCAGAAATGCAATGTGGGTGGCAAGGTAAATGGAGAATTCAGCACTGGCATCATTATTGTCTAGCAACCCTATGCAGGTCAATGTATGTTGAAGCATGTTGAAAAGAAATGTAAGTTTGCTGCAGGCAGTTTCTCAGTAATCACTTACCAGGCGTGCTGTAATATTGAAAGCTTTCATCAGGTCACAAGATGGAAGGTGGCAGCAGAAGATTGAGCTGTGTAAGACTATAGGAATATGCAAAAACACAGCCAAGAACATAAAGGCTGCTGCACAGGCTGTGGGATATAAATGACAGAGTCATGGGGGATGTTCAAACAAAGATGGTGCCAGAAGGAACATAAACCCATTGTCAGTTTATTACAGGTTTATGTTTACATGTTATGTTGACATTCTAACTCTTCCTCACTTGCTTGTGACTGTGCAGGTGATAAGTCAATACTTTGCACTCATCACAGTATTCCATTGTTTCCGGTCCTAAACCTTTAACCCCTTTTCTCTCAGGACAGGACAGTCTTAAACTGCCCATGTATGGGTCAGTTTTCAGCTGAACAAAAAAAATGGACTTGATTCCCCATTCACACATTCTGTGTGGATGCTGGAATCCTCCCCAATGCGTCTTTGTATTCTGACAGCGGGTAGTCTCCCTCTCCTCCCCACTGTCAGAATACACTGATCAGCACAGCAGCCTATTGGCTGCAGTGCTTATCGAAATTATGCAGCAGTCTGATTTATTGACTTATGAATGGGAGTGGCCATACATGGATCAAAATTTTGATCCATGTATGGCCAGCTTTAGCTTTGAAAAGAAAATTTAGTAAGACTAAAAAACTTTTAAGACAAAGCTACTGATGTGAAAATTTCAGGATATTATTAGAGATGAGCGAATCGAAGTAGCCGAAGTGGAATTCGAGTCGAATATCGGAAAAAATTTCGCCGAATGAAAAATAGCCTACTTCGGACGCGCGAATCGAAATTTTTCCGAAAAAGGGCGGCGGACATTGTGCGGCGACGGAGCGGGGATGTCTGGGAAGGCGCGCAGACAAGGCGCGCTGACCCATAATGCATTCCTCAATGACATGTGATCGCATCAGCCAATCAGCAGCCAGCCAGCCAGCACTGTGTAATGGTCGAGCTATAAATAGCGGCCATTTTGGAATTCTTCATTTGCCTGCAGTCATTGAACAGAGGCAGACCGCTCTGTATTAGGGACAGAGTTAGGGCCACAGAAACGATACTTGGGGACAGAGAAACGTTACTTAGGGACAGAGAACCATTACTCAGGGACACAGAATTGTTAGTGAGGGCCACAGAATCGTTACTTAGGGACAAAGAAACGCTAGTTAGGGCCACAGAATTCTTACTCAGGGACAGACAGAATTGTTACTGAGTGCCAGAGAATTGTGACTTAGGGCCACAGAAACGTTATTAGGGCCACAGAATTGTTACTCAGGGACAGACAGAATTGTTACTGAGTGCCAGAGAATTGTTACTTAGGGCCACAGAAACTTTAGTTAGGGCCACAGAATTGTTACTCAGGGAAACAGACACAGAATTGTTACTGAGGGCCACAGAACTGTTACTTAGGGCCACAGAAACTTTAGTTAGGGCCACAGAATTGTTACTCAGGGACAGACACAGAATTGTTACTGAGGGCCACAGAACTGTTACTTAGGGCCACAGAATTGTTACTCGCACAGACACAGAATTGTTACTCAGGGACACAGAATTGTTACTGAGGGCCACAGAACCGTTACTTAGGGCCACAGAATTGTTACTCGCACAGACACAGAATTGTTACACAGGGACACAGAATTGTTACTGAGGGCCACAGAACCGTTACTTAGGGCCACAGAATTGTTACTCAGGGACACAGAATTGTTACTGAGGGGCCACAGAACTGTTACTTAGGGCCACAGAATTGTTACTCGCACAGACACAGAATTGTTACTCAGGGACACAGAACTGTTACTGAGGGCCACAGAACTGTTACTTTAGGGCCACAGAATTGTTACTCGCACAGACACAGAATTGTTACACAGGGACACAGAATTGTTACTGAGAGCCACAGAACCGTTACTTAGGGCCACAGAATTGTTACTCAGGGACACAGAATTGTTACTGAGGGCCACAGAACTGTTACTTAGGGCCACAGAATTGTTACTCGCACAGACACAGAATTGTTACTCAGGGACACAGAATTGTTACTGAGGGCCACAGAACCGTTACTTAGGGCCACAGAATTGTTACTCGCACAGACACAGAATTGTTACACAGGGACACAGAATTGTTACTGAGGGCCACAGAACCGTTACTTAGGGCCACAGAATTGTTACTCAGGGACACAGAATTGTTACTGAGGGCCACAGAACTGTTACTTAGGGCCACAGAATTGTTACTCGCACAGACACAGAATTGTTACTCAGGGACACAGAACTGTTACTGAGGGCCACAGAACTGTTTACTTAGGGCCACAGAATTGTTACTCGCACAGACACAGAATTGTTACTGAGGTACACAGAATTGTTACTGAGAGCCACAGAACCGTTACTTAGGGCCTCAGAATTGTTTACTACAGGGACACAGAATTGTTACTGAGGGCCACAGAACTGTTACTTAGGGCCACAGAATTGTTACTCGCACAGACACAGAATTGTTACTCAGGGACACAGAATTGTTACTGAGGGCCACATAACCGTTACTTAGGGCCACAGAATTGTTACTCGCACAGACACAGAATTGTTACACAGGGACAACAGAAGGATTGTTACTGAGGGCCACAGAACCGTTACTTAGGGCCACAGAATTGTTACTCGCACAGACACAGAATTGTTACTCAGGGACACAGAACTGTTACTGAGGGCCACAGAACTGTTACTTAGGGCCACAGAAATTGTTACTCGCACAGACACAGAATTGTTACACAGGGACACAGAATTGTTACTGAGAGCCACAGAACCGTTACTTAGGGCCACAGAATTGTTA